AAAAAAAAAAAAAAAAAAAGGGAAGTCCTCGTTTATTTTTTTATTTTTTATCTGTTGATTAGGGCCGGAGGAAAGTATTGTTGGGTTGGTTTCCTACCTGCGTGTTCCCTCCCACCCACCCTTTGCATGCATTTTCGGGTTGGTACAGTGACACGTCAGACACAGTGCCACGTAAGCAGTGCCACGTAAGCAGTGCCACATCAGCAGTGCCACGTCAGACACAGTGCCACGTCAGCAGTGCCACGTCAGCAACATGAGGGGCCTGCCAGGCCAATTGGCCAATGAGCCCATTGCCGACTACAAAAAGCGCTTCCAGGCTCAGCTCGCTGCAATCGAGGCTGAGGAACAACGCCAGCTGGCAGTTAAGGCTGCCCAGCTACAGGCTGAAGAAGAGGCAACAGCAGAGAAGCTGCGGCTACAGGCCGAAGCAGACGCAGATGCCCAGGCTCGCCGCAAGGAAGCCCAGGATCTGCTGCAGCGGCATGAAGCCAGCAACATCGACAGACTCAAGTTCTGGCACTTTGAACCGAACGGCGACGAACCAACACCGGAAGAGAAGCATAAGGAGTTCATGGCCAAGCTCGTGACCAGGTTGGTTTATACTTGTAACCACCTACAGTCCGAGCTGGCGAACCTCCAGCGGGCCGTGCGGAACCATAAGACTCAGCACGAGGATGCCACACGGGCACTGGATGCACGTGTACTGGACCTGGAACAGGCTGTCCCAGGACCAGATGCTGGGGCTTCCAGCAGTGCATCCTCTAGCCGCCAACTGGAGGAACGCGTTGACCACGTAGTGGCAATGCKAGGAGACATAAGTGCCTTCACAGAGTCGGCCACCATCAGCCAGCGGTTCGAGTTGCTGGACACTAAGATCAGTCAGCAACAGCCGACCGACCACAGCCACAACAACAGCTCGGCAAGGCCATACAAGATGCCGACGTTCCGGATCGAGAAATTTGATGACTACACACATCAAGACCCGGCCGTCTGGTGGCAAGGATTTACAACGGAGTTGGGGATCCACGAGGTTCCTGACCATCTGTTCATCAGTGCTCTGTTCATCAACACCAAGGGAGGATGTCAGATCTGGCTCAGCCACATGGCAACCATCCACGGCGTCCAGGTTTCAGACCTGCATAAGAAGGTCACCTGGGAGGATATGACAAAGGAATGGAAGAAGCGGTTCATAGTGGATGACGCACCCGCGCTCGCCATCAACCGCATCTTCGCGATGGCTCAAGGGAGCACACCGACACGTGACTGGCTCACGGATTGGCAGAAGATCGTGGCCACGCCCGATCTGGACTTGCCATTTCTGCATCTGCGCCGTGAGTTCTACAACAGGTCATGCGCCGCTTTTAGTCTCGCACTTGGTGATCGCGAGCAGTACGACACTTTCGCAGAGATCATCAACAAGGCGAGAGAGATCATCAAGACCAACAGGGCGGCCGCACACGAGAAGTCAACGTGGCAGCCAACCTATGTGGCGAAGGTACGAAGTGGTCCGCGACAGCAGCACTTCGCTGCAGTCCAATCGGACAGTGGAGAAGACCCAGCAGCCACTCCAGCATCACGTGAGGGAGATCAGGTGGCTGCTGTCCAGCCGCGAAGCAACAAGCMCCGAGTKAACRGGAAGGCGAAACCARCATCGCAGGCYGGAAACGGACAGCCAGCACCACCATGGGTCAAGTTCGGCTTGACCGAGGCCGAGTACAAGTACCGCAACCGTTACGGCTGTTGTTACTGGTGCAACAACACCAAGCACAAGACCTCCATTTGCCAAGATCAGGCCAAGGAGGATGTGCGACCTTGTCTTAACTCGGAAAATTGAGTTGCGCAGGAGGTGAGGCGACTCCACCTCTCACTCCGCCAGATTCGGCCGCCTTGCTAGCGGCCTCCTACACATCTGGGGAGGATGCGCATGTCGCAAGTCCTCGGTACAATTACGAGGATTATGCTGTCCACTTGGTCCCACCGCTGGACCAACCGCTCCACGTGCAACAATCTACCGCATGCACGGTTTCATCACCATCGGCAACCGATTCGGCAGCTTCGCCGCTATCTATCGCCGGGGTTTCATCGTCGTGGTCAAGACTTGAGGTGCTCGACCCACTGACGATCACGGACTTCCAGTGGATGCCCGTTCCCCCGACCGGACGATTGCCGAAACCGCATTGCAATGTGCTCATGGCACAACTGCGAGATTACTTGCACACTGCAGTACCCACTCCGTTGATGGACGCCGGAGTAGAGGTTGTCGACCTTCACGCCTACATTGCGAAGATCGACCGCGAGTTCAAGACGCAACAGTACGACGACATCAACGCACCATTGCTATACGTACGCATTCAGATCGGAGAGGCGACCTGCAGCGCCTTGATCGATTGCGGAGCTACTCGCAACTACATCAGCCAAGACTTCATGGTCCGCGCCGGCCTTCGCCCACGCGTCCGGAGGAAGTCCCAGCCTACGCAAGTCACGTTGGCGGACGGTCGCATGCACAAGTCAATTGACCGGTGCATCGACGACGTCCCTGTGTACTTTGCCCCTCACGCAAGTGAGGCGGTGTACTTCGACATTCTGGACACCAACTTCGACATGATCTTGGGCATGTCATGGCTGCGAAGCGAGGATCACCCGGTGAACTTCTTCCACCGCACCGTTCACATTCGTGATCGGAACGGAGTATTAGTTTCATGCACGGTACCTCTTCCTCATCCTTCGATCAGCTGCCACGTGGTATCTGCCGCAAGCATGCGAGCATCCATCATCAAAGACGACATCGAGGAGATGGGGGTGTGTTTTCTTCACGCCCTTCCGCCCCGAGACGCTTCATCGACGGACTCATCTTCGGATCCACGCATCACCGAACTTCTCGACACCTACAGCGACGTGTTCGAAGGCCCGCACGGAGTAGTACCGGATCGACCCATCCGCTATGAGATCATCCTCGAGGACAAGGCCGTGCCTCCGCGCGGTTGCATGTACCGAATGAGCGAGGAAGAGTTAAGTGTGCTCCGTGCACAACTCGACGATCTTCTAGAGAAAGGCTGGATTCGGCCTAGCTCATCGTCATACGGTGCTCCTGTTCTCTTCGGCCGAAAGAAGAACAAGGACCTGCGGTTGTGCATCGATTATCGCAAGCTCAACGCGCAGACGATCAGGAACGCCAGCCCTCTCCCACGCATCGACGATCTTCTCGAGCGACTGGGCGGCGCCAAGTCCTTCTCCAAGATCGATCTTAAGTCGGGATATCACCAACTCGAGATTCGCAAGGAGGATCGCTACAAGACCGCGTTTAAGACGCGATATGGGCATTTCGAATGGCTGGTCATGCCATTTGGCCTTACGAATGACCCAACCACTTTCCAAGCGGCTATGACAACGGAGTTCCGACACATGCTCGATCGTTACGTACTTATCTACCTCGACGACATCCTGGTATACAGCCGGAGTTTGGAGGAGCATGTGGAACACCTGCGCACCGTTTTGGAGCGGCTACGTCAAGCCAAGTACAAAGCCAACCGCGACAAGTGCGAATTCGCGCGGCAGGAGCTGGGGTACTTGGGACATTATGTGGCGCCGCAAGGCATCCGTCCGCTTGCGGACAAGATTGAGGCCCTACGAGTATGGCCCGAGCCCACCAACACCACGGACGTTCGTTCATTCATAGGGTTGGCGGGCTACTATCAGCGATTCATCACTGGATACTCCAGGATTGCTGCACCTATGAAGAGGTTACAGTCGCCAAAGGTGCCATTCGTATTCGATGACAACGCGCGATGGTCATTCCAAGCACTTAAGACGGCTATGCTTATGGCACCCGTCCTTAGCATCTATGACCCCACCCTGCCGACGAGAGTGACTACGGACGCTTCCGGCTACGGTATTGGGGCAGTCTTGGAACAGCACGACGGCGATGACTGGCACCCTGTGGAGTATTTCAGACACAAAGTGCCTCCCATCAACTCGCTTGATGATGCAAGGAAGAAGGAGCTACTCGCGTTCATCATGGCTCTCAAGCGATTGCGGCACTTCCTCCTTGGGCGTCGTAGGTTCACATGGGTTACGGACAACAATCCATTGACCTATTACAAGACGCAGGATACGGTGAGTAGCACGATCGGACGATGGATGTACTTCATCGACCAATTTGACTTCACACCGAAACATCTACCCGGCCTCTCAAATCGCGCAGCAGATGCACTCTCGCGAAGACCCGATCTTTGCGCCATTACACATCATGCCTTTGCATTCGACGAGGAGCTTCAGCGACACTTCATCCGGGCATATGAGTCTGATCCGGACTTCGCCACGCTGTACGCACAACTATCTTCGGATCACCCGCCGGCCAGCCACTATCGCATCGCCGACGGATACTTGCTCCTCCACTCGAGAGGCAAGGACTTATTGTGTGTCCCACGCAACCGTCGTCTTCGGACTCGCCTCCTCGACGAGTATCATGATGCACGACTCGACGGCCATTTCGGAGTCAACCATACTATTGCACGGCTTCGACAGCGATTCCGATGGCCCGACCTCATTACCGATGTCACTCGGTATTGCGACTCGTGCGAAGTTTGCCGACGCAGCAAACCCCTCAACCGCAATCCCTATGGCGAGTTACACCGGATGCCTATCCCACGGGAACCCGGTCTCTCCATTGCCATGGACGTCACCGGTCCGTTTCCTCGCGACCGGCTAGGGCACGACGGCATCCTTACGGTTGTGGACCGATTGAGTAAGTACGCTCGTTTTCTCCCTTGCGAGTTCTACTCCACGGCTCCCGAGCTGGCACGCCTCCTGCACACTAGTTGGATTTGTGGCCACGGTGTACCAGAAGACATTGTTAGCGACCGCGACACTCGTTTCATGTCGGCGTTTTGGACTGCTCTCATGCAGGAGTCCGGCACAACAATGAAACCAAGTTCGGCTCGGCATCCTCAGACAGACGGGCAGACGGAGCGGGCACATCAAACCGCTCAAATGATGCTTCGAACGCTCATCCGTCCGGACCAGAAAGATTGGGTTGACCGCCTCCCCGACATCGAGTTCGCCTACAACACTTTCGTGCACCCGATCGGCGTGACTCCATTCGAGTTGCACCACGGTGGATGGAAAGGCCGTATCTTCGTCGACCTTCTCCTCCCTCGACCAGCCGACATTGACGCTGCCTGCTCTCCCGCTTCCGTCCGGAAGTACAGGGAATTGTTGACTCAAGCCCGCGCAAACATGCAAAAGGCTCAAGTCCGCATGCAGCAGCAAGCCAACAGGCGTCGCGTACCATGTCCCATCCGCCTCAGTGATCTGGTTTGGGTCTCCTCGGAAGAGTTTGCACTGGAATAGGACGTTTCACGCAAACTACCTCTCAAGTGGTTTGGACCTTGGTCTGTGACAGCAGTCGTGGGCGATGAGCCTGATGGCCCTTCATTTGTGATCAACATTCCAGAGCATTTGACGGTCCATCCGGTCTTCCACGCCTCGAAGATGGCAACATACACGCCAGCCAAGAGCGACGACTTTCCGGGCCAACGATCGCAGGACCCTCCTTCTATGGATGGCCATCAGGAAGTTGACCGCGTCATCACCGATCGCAAGTACGGCAGCAAGCCGTGGCAGTACAAAGTCACATTCAAAGCATGCGATCGCGACGACACTCGGTGGATTTCAGGMGCAGATTTGAAAGCATCCGCACCGCTGATCTACACTCATTATGAACGTCAAAGGTTAGCCAAGGGACCTCCACGAACTGCCCCTCCCACCCGGACTGTGGTCCCTCCCTCAGACAGACAGYTTCGCCCTCGCAGGTAAGCTCGGTCTTTCAAGGAGGGGGGGGTGTGGCATATTGCGTAGCCACACGGGCCATGTAGGACCTGTCCCGGACATTCAGCCTAAAAGCCTAAAACTTAGGAGCTACAGGCCCCGGTCGTCTCGGCCTGAAAACTGAAAAACGAGGGTCTGCAGGCCCTACTCCGTTTCAGCCTATTTTGGGTCTTAACCCAGAGTTTTTCCAGCCTGAAACGGAGGGCTATTCTTAGGCCCTGGGTTATTTTTAGGCCCTCATTTGTTTCGACCTGCCCTAAGATTCAGGCACGAAAACTGGGTTTCGGAACATGCTATTTCTGGCCTGTTCCCACGCCAGCTCGAGCAGGAGCTGCAGCTGCAGCCCCTGCCTCCCTGCGGCATTATTGGCAAGAGCAAGAGCAGGAGCTGCAGCTGCAGCCCCTGCCTCCCTTCGGCATTATTGGCAAGAGCACGAGCAGGAGCTGCAGCTGCAGCCCCTGCCTCCCTTCGGCATTATTGGCAAGAGCA